GCAATAGGGAGACCAGATTCAGTCAACAGCTGTGTTACTAACTTAACTGCGGCGATTCATTTAAAAGGTCATAAAATGTGGCAAAATTCACTTAACAAATGTCTCAGCAACAGAAATTTTGGGCTCCATTGTGGTCGTAAATTGAGAACTACCTGTGCCAGACAAAGATTTCTGTTTAGGCCCAGATGAATAACGATGTGACTCAGCAGATGTCTGCTGTGAGTCTTTTTGGGATACAAGATTCATTATGCAGCTGGGGCTGGTTAGAGGCAAGTTTGGAGATAAAAGGACGGATGCTGCCACGCCCTAGTCGCAGGACTCAATGTTCCTTCGTGTATTCCTTGTTTGGTACAACATTGCTTGATTATTAATCGTGATTTATGGAAGATACACTTGGATAAGTGCTTGGGTGTTTCATGTAACCCTGATTCGTGGAGACTTTGGAAGAAGTGCATTGGAAGAGTTGTTTTGTATTCTGTTATCTGCTTGAAAGAGACTGTATTTCTGTTATTTTTGGGCTCGAAGCCAGTTTGAACTGAGAACTGATAAAGAAAATTTCTTTTAGGATTAATTGTCTGCCGTTTGTTAAGAGCCGTGAATGGGGGACAGAACATAACGAGTAACAAATAAATACATTTCCAAAGAGTATAGAAAGTTATTTCTATATTTTAATAAAGATGAAAAATGTTCATATAGAAAAGTAAACAGTAACATTAGGAATAATTTAATAATTAAAGGTGTTTTATGATTTTGTGGAACTGATGGAAGGGATTTGACATTGCATGGAGAAATACAGTCATACACTGGCATGACTAGTCCATTTATAAAGGAACATATAGTAAGAAATAATGGAGTGAAAGAATAGACAGATATGGACATTGGCATTCAGATGATCAGGAACACTAAAATAATTTGGCAGCAGATATGAATAGATAGTAATATGAAAGAAAGGAATTATGAGGGAGAGACAAGAGGCCTATATTTTTTTTAATACTGAGACAGTTTTATTGCAATTGACTGAAATGAGCTCAAAGGAAAAGGAATTATCAAAGAAAAAGTAAATGTTTTAATAACTGTCTCTATGTCCTCTCCTTTCAGGGAAATCCCATACAGCAAATGCAAAAAATCATAAATATACCTTTTAATTCATAAATTATTCCCCTTATTCCTACTTATCTTTCTATATAGTCATTATTTTCCTTTTATTGAACATATAAATTATCATTACAAATCATATGCAATTAAGATTGTAATAGTATGAGGTAAAGTATCTGACTGACTGACCTAAACAAACTAAGTCAAAACAAAAACATGAAAAGGAAAATGAGAAAACAGGATGTAAGGAATTCAGTAAATGTTGGGAAAGGACTGATTAGAAATATACAGTAAATGGAATAAAGTCACATAAAGATCAATACCACAAAACATTACAATTGCTACATCTCCCAAGATAAAATTCCTAAAATAATTATATCTCAGTTTTTCTGAAAAGTATCATGGCTAGACAATTCAGATGTATCAATAATCAAGCTATACCTTTTCATTTTCCCAATTTTCTAGTTAAAGGAAGTATAAAAGTGATACCATGTAAAGACAAAAAAAGTAGTAGTGGCCAAAATTGTGTTAACCTTTTGGGAAAAGTGTACAGTATTTTTGAGGTTTGATGGCTAATATCACTTTTTTTTNTCCGACACAGAGCATCCATCAGAGCCTTTCCCAGACTCCAGAATTGGCCCAAGTTCCTTCCCAACCTCCTCATCATCCAAGTCTGCCAGCAGCTCCACTGCCAGCTGGTGGGCCACAACAACTATATTGATGGAAGAAAGATGGCCTGTGTTGAACAGTAAATGATGCCATAGTGAGCATCTTCAGATTGCCTTTGTTATTATCCATGGTGCTCTCAACAGCACTAGTGCTGGCTCCACCTTGTTATCCAGCCACAAACCAATGATGCTGAGTACAAATGTAAACCTTCTGTTGGTCCAGGCAAGAGGAAAAACTATTTAATTTAGGTGACCCTTGTGACAACAATAAAAAACAGAGGTTGAACACCAATGGCACCTTTTATTTTATTTTCAGAGCTGTTAGCCTCCCAAGTAGACTAGAGAGGAAGCACCACAATGCTACTCTACCATCTCTTTTTACCACCTAAAAGGTCAGGGTGGATCCCTTCTATATTTCTTTCTCTGCCCATTATTCAGGGGCAGGCTCTCCCACTTTTTTATTCCCTAGGGAGCATCTCTTCCCTTCATCATTCAAGATCATTCTTACCTACTGTTACAAGAAACAACCAATGGGAACAGCTGAATCCTCATATGGGCAGTCTTCACTGAACTGCTGGTATTCTGGTATACTCATTTGAGAGTCTCTGTGTGCAATGCAACAATTTCTGCCACAGTGCAAATCTTGAAGTGCAGTATTTTCATAAAATTTACAATATAATTTTTATTTTACTGTAAATGCTTTTTGTGTAAGAATAGGGAATTTGAAAAAGTTGTTGATACCTACTAGATAAATATGAAATGGACATGGTCTTTTTCAAATAATGTTAGATATCATATTGTCCTGAAACACAATATATTCATTTTATTATGATTTAATTTCTGGGGGGGGGGAGATAAAATTTGATTGTACTTTACCTGAAACACTATTACGAATGCTAATCTTGCTGCAAGCACAGCCCAAAAATCTTTTGCAACGTCATATTTATTTTCAGACCATGGAGGTTCTCTATAATCTTTGTATCTGAAAAAAAGATTAGAATTGAGAATCAGAAAGTTCTGAGAAAAATTTATTACTTCATGTCAAATTCTATCTATCTATCTATCTATCTATCTATCTATCTATCTATCTATCTATCTATCTATCTATCTATCTATCTATCTATCTA